GTTTACTTTGTGACTACGGGTTAAATTCCCGGTAGATCCCCCTGCGCACTTATATGAAACTACGGGACTGCACCCGGTAGATTTTTCCAGTACTGGGTATTTACATTTGGGACTACGAACCGGGGTTCCGGTAGATCCCCGCGCATTGATAATTGGACTACGGGACGGTATCCGGGGAGATCCATGGACAATTGATGAAAGGGAATACATGACGGTATCCTGGGAGATCCTCGTTGTTACTATTGGTATTGAGCTGTTCTTATTTCCGAGTTTACTCTGTTCTTTTGTATAATTGTTGTTTCCTTGTATAACCTGTCTCATTTCACTGCTGTATTCATTTATATTGTCTATTTCACACTGTTGAAACTTTATATTATGTTTAACCTCAGTAGGGCCCTGACCTTCCTCGTCACTACCCGACTAAGGTTAGGCTTGACACTTATTGAGTATCGTTGTGGTGTACTCATGCCCTTTCTGCGCATGTTTTCATGTGCAGATCTAGGTACCTCTGCACAGGCTTACCATCCTTGAGGCAGGGAGCATTTTGGAGACTTCGAGGTACATCTGCCGCGTCCGCATACCGAAGAGTCTCCTTCTTTACTCTATCTTGTAGTGTTAGCTCTTCATCCGTACCATTATATGTAGACATTTCATGAGATTAGAGAACTTTACTGTATTCCTTCTAGCTTGTGTTCCCGTGAGTTTCCGGGTTTAGGGATAATATTGTAGGTTTCAGTGATGTTGAGTTGTATATGTCGAGCGGCATCTTATATACTGTTTTCTTCCAGTTGTTCAGTTTGATTATTATTTTCGCAAGTTAGTTATTTTCCGCATTGTTAGGCTTACCTAGTCGTAGAGACTAGGTGCCGTCATGACGTGTTCACGGAGGGCGAACTGGGGTCGTGACAATTCATCACCTCCTTTAACGTTCTATTCTTTCTTTCCGCAATTCATTAGATTGCGGTGAGTAAGGGGCAGTTGTTTGGTAAATAATGCCATATTCCAAATATATTTCTTCAAAAATAGATTCATATTTGTCACCCCTATCACTTATTATCATTTTGATCTTATTGTTTAGTTGCGTTTTAACTTCATTTTATTGCTTGAATGCATCAATTGCTTCATCTTACTAAGTAAGTAAATATAGCAATATTTAGTACTGTCATCAATTAAAGTTATGAAATACTTCTTCCTATCGCGAGATGGTATTGACTTCATGTCGCAAATATCTGTGTGAATTAAGTCTAAAGGATTTGAATTCCTTTCAACTGACTTATAAGGATGTTTAACATACTTTGATTCCACACATTTTGAGTTATTATATTCAAACTTAGGCAAAACTTTCAAATTAATCATTTTGCGCAAAGTTTTGAAGTTGACGTGACCTAAACGTTCATGCCATAAATTATTTGACTCAAGAAAATAAGAAGAAGCTGGAATTTTATTCATATTAGTGGAAATTACATTGAGTTTGAAAAGGCCTCAGTAAGGTAACATTTTCCTACATACATTTCATTCTTACTAATTAAAACCTTGTCGGAAACAAAAACACAATTAACGCCATTTTTGACTAGAAGTGTATCGAGACTAAATTCTTTCGCATTTCAGGAACATGAAGGACATCGTTTAGAATCACAATCTTGCTAGAAGTCATCTTCAAATCTATCTTGCCCATTCCTTCAATTTTTGCAGTAGCGAAATTTGCCATAAAAACTGTCTCGTCGGTACCAATGGGAGCATAAGAAGTAAAAAAACTCCTTGTTAGTACAAACATGACGAGTGGCCCCAGAATCAATCCACAATTCTCTAGGATTTCCGACCAGGTTGCATTCAGAAAGCATGGTACACAAGTCGTCTATTTTGTCATTCTTCTCAATTATGTTTGCTTGGCTTTTCTTCTTGTCCTTCTTTGGTGCTCGACAGTCAGCATCATTGTGTCCAACCTTTCCACAGTTGCAGCAATTATCTTTGAACTTTTTTTTTGCTTGGGTAATTCTTTAGTCCAAACGGCTCCTTTCTTCTTCTTTTTTCTCGTTGAAGCTTCCTCAACAATATTTATACCCATTATTGTTGAATTTTCACGCGACTTCTTTTCTGAAGCCTTGTTGCCCTTTTCAATCCTTACGCGAACAATAAGGTCTTCCAATGTCATCTCCTTACGCTTATATTTCAAGTGATTTTTAAAAAATTTCCACATTTGAGGCAACTTTTCAATAAATGCCACAACTCTTCATTTATGACCATACCTACGATCATAAATTTAGAATTAATAATATAATCAATATCTTTAATAAAAATATTGATTTGATTTATACATTCGGCAAGGAGGTCATGAACGATGACTTGCAGTTTTTGAACTTGAGTTATGACAGACTTACTGTCTACCATTTTAAAGTCCAAGAACTTTGCGGCAACAAACATTCTTAAGTCAATCATCTTCCATCTTGTACTTCTTTTCAAGAGTGTTCCACAACTCTTTTTTAAAGTTTCCATGACACTGTAAAAATTGTACAAGACATCTTCCAAATAGCTCAATATATAATTTTTGCACAAGAAGGCAGAATGATTCCATGCCTCCGTGACCACAAACTTCTCATTAGCTAGAGTTTCTTCTCTCAAGACTGGAACGCCCTCGCTAATGAAGCGCTGTAAACTGAATGTGGTCAGGTAAAAGAATATTTTCTGCTGCCATCGCTTGAAGTCCACGCCGAAAAATTTTTCGGATTTTTTTGTCGGTGCAGGCATTATGCGACTTAAAAACGTAGTAGCCATTACAGCAGTAGTCATCCCAACAGAACCATTTTGTTATTCCATACTTGTTGTCATTTTTCTGTAAAAGAAATTGACACAAAATAGAATTAATATCTCGGTGAATTTTTTATATCTTCAAACCGAATACAAAAAATCGAGAAAATCACAAGGATCTTAATCTCGGATTGAGTAGAAAGTCACAAAGACATTAATCTTAAACTGGAGTAGAAAATTCGAAGATTTTAATCTCCAAAACGGGAATAGAAAATCTCTAGGATATTAGTCTCCCAAACGAGAAAGTAAGATGAACATATAAATAAATATTAAATTCCTTAAGCTTGTTAGTATTCTGTATTCAAACAAGAAAATCAGAAGACATTAGTTTAAGAAAACAACTAACAGAAAATTCCGAGCCCACAAGTTTGTTGTGTGTCCTTAAGGAAGTTAATCCCCTCACAGTTGCCCAAGGTTTCGTATTGATTCCTCCCAGGATAGAACGGAATAACTATTCTGTGGTAGAGGCACTTCAAATCACAGAACTTCGGCGAACTCAAATGGCAGAGCAAATCACACAAAATGCTTAAGTTTTTTGCTTTGAAAAACAATGCAGAAGATAGAGGGGAGAAATTTTCAGTTTCGGTGATTGAAAAATGAGGCTGAGCCTCTCTATTTATAGCCAATAAAGTTGAGTCTCAATAGGTGTAAAGGTGCCTGTTCATTTGAAGAGGTATCTATTCGGCAGAAATTATTTGAATTTCTGCTAAACGAAATGGACCATTGGAAAATAATGCCGCAACTTTAATATTTTTTCGTGCAAAAATATTACGAAAGGAAATATTAAATGATGGAAATGGAAAATAAATTTGGTGCAAAAAATTATTAATCAAGCCAAAGCCAAAGTCGAGTTGAGCGACAACGACGGCGCATGTTTGCTCTCTTCTCAATTCTTTAAGAGCTAGAAGAAGTACTTCTATATATAAGCACAAGAATGTTCCTCATCCTATCCAATGAGGGACAAAGTTCCTTTTTAAGAGGGACTAAATCAAATTTTCATTTCACTCCATTTCTTTTCCCACCATTTTCCATTCACACCTTTTTTTGTTTTAATTAATAAAATCCAACACTTAATTGAGAAGGTGAGCCGTGGCATAACTGGAAAAGTTGTTGTCATGTGACCAGGAGGTTATGGTTTCGAGCCGTGGAAACAGTCTCTTGCAGAAATACAGGGTAAGGCTGCGTAAGGCTGTGTACAGTAGACCCTTGTGGTCTCGTCCTTTTTTGAACCCTGGTAAAGTTGATGTCATGTGACCAAGAGGTCACAGGTTCGAGTTGTGAAAATAGTCTCTTGCAGAAATGCAGGGTAAGGCTGCATACAATAGATCCTTGTGGATGGTCCAATCTTTTTTCAGACCCTGCATATAGCAGGAGCTTAGTGCACCGGGCTGCCCTATAATAGCTGAATTGAGCATTATCAATATTTGCTATAAAATTTATTAATTAGCGTGGTTAAAAGGCACCGAATTATTTTATAAAAATAAACGAATCCTTATTGGTAGCTAATTTTAAAGAGAAAGTTTCATCAAAAGATTAACTCTAAGAGGAAGTGGATGATGATCGAAGAGAGCGTGAAAAAAACTAGGGAAATAGAGAACGATGCACCAAAAAAGAAAAAGAAAAGAAAAGAAGAAGTAAGAAATAGAGAAGCTTTTACGGATGAGATAATGTGTAGCTAGAATTGTGGGATTACCCAAATTTTTGGAAGAAATTATATGGAATATATATTATCTTAACCATGATTAGAATCTTGTTGGAAATAACTAAATCTCATCCATTAATTTTAAATACTATGTGTCTTCTATTTTTGTTTAAAATGGAGAAAATGAAAAATGGAGAAGAGAGCCGAAAGCAGCAGCTAGAAAAATGACATATATCTACAATGATCTATAGATATCTCTAACGAAATTTGGTCGAGCCAAAAGAAAGCTATATCCTCATCTGAATTTTGTTCTTCCTATTTTCAGTTTTTCTTAAATAAACCAAAAGTTAGGCAACCTTTCAATACTCATAACTACTTTTCATTTTTTACTTTTGATCGCATCTCTTCTTTTTCGTTCAATGTGATGATCATTACTTACTCCTTAATTTACTGCAAAATACGCAATCTTTTTCCTACTAAGGCAACAAAAACCAAACTATTATACCAAAAAAGAACAAATACCGTAATCTTTAAGGCCTATAAATTCTACAAGTGCAAGCTACGCCAAAGTTTTTATATGAAAATAAAATTTGACAACTCTCCCCTCTCTTTGTATGATCTCCTGCTCCCATTACTACAACTATATCATGTTGATAGCTCCCTTTTATCATCTTCTCATCAAAGTTTTTACACATACTTCATTTCTCAGTATATATTAAAACTAGATATGTCAACAACTTCAACAATCACAACCACCACAAAAACCCCCACCATACCATACCACTGCTTCTAGCCCAAGTTAAAGTTATACTCAATATTCATCTCAATAATAATAGTAACACAATAGTTCCACTAATCAATATCTCATGAGTACCATTTCCTTTGGTTCAACAAAGGCTTTGAATTTTTTCTAGCTCATGGCAAACCAACAAGATTTGGCAGTTCATTTTCCACCCCAGATTATTGTGAGTTATTTGCCTTATAATTTTAGTGTCTTACATTTTGTCATTTTGTTTCGTTCTTGAACTTTTATGGTGCACACATTTTCTCAGAGTCAGCGGGATCTGTTCTTTGTATTTACGTATTTTTATTCTTTTTTCTCACACACACATGAAGGTTCGAATTAGACGCAATAGGTTCTCATTCTGGATCCTCCATTGCTTTTTCGTTTTTGTGTTGAGATGTTGTTGGTTTATGTTTCAGAGAAAGAAGAAAACTGGTGGACAACAAAAGAAAGAGGAACTTGAAAAAGAGGTATGGGTGTGATCATTCTGTGTACTTTTCTTAATTGATTTCTTTTGCATGGTACGTATTATTAAAAATATGACCAATTATTTACCAGTACTTGGCATATATAGGTGATGGTCATGTACCTTCGGCCTATATGCTCTTTTAGTAGGTTAGTCATACGTATGAATGTTGCTAAATTTGCAATTGGAATCCAAAGATATGCTCTTTATTTTCTTAGGATTACGAAGTCTATATAAGTAAAGCAATAAAAAGAGATTATCTACCATTATTACCATAAAGATTTTAAATATCAGACAATTGGAAACTATCTTATGTGCATTAAGTTTAATTCATGGAGATTTCAAGGATTTAGATCCCTTATTATTATTGTGTGTCCTGAAGGGGAGCCTTGACGTAACTGGTAAAGTTGTTGCCATGTGACCAGAAGGTCATGGGTTCGAGAGATGGAAACAGCCTCTTGTAATTAAAAATGCATGGTAAGACTGCGTACGATAAACCCTTGTGGTCTACCCTTCCCCGGACCCCGCGCATAGCGAGAGCTTAATATACGGGCTGTTCTTTTATTATTCTATGTCCTATTCTTTCTTACGGATTCCAAAAATAATCGTGATTTTTGTCTCCGGCTCTGGGAGAACTTTACTTATATATAGGTGACCTACAAATCTTTGATAATTTCCAGAAATACAAGAACCACTTATTTATTTTGGTTTTATACTCTCATTTAATTAGGTTGCTGAGCTTAGGAAAATGTTGAATCATGAACAAAAAGTGCATGAATTTCTGGAGAAGGTGTATCAGCGAAAGGATGGTTCATCTTTCAGTATTCCAAATTATCTTCCTCTAAGGTGATTTAATTTAATTTCTTGGTGTAAACTTTCATTGAAATTGTTTATGCCTTCCACTTTTCTGTGTATATCTAACTTTGATGGAATGATCTTCTCCTCTTCCTAAGATTTCATGATTAACACAAGCTTAGAAGAAAAGTATAGAAAAGTGGTTATAACCACACAAAAAAAAAGAATCATGTTCATATCAAGAACGATAAAACACCGGCTTGCTATGGATCCAATTTCGTACAAATTAAATCTTTAAAAAATAAATTAAAAAAAGAAAGTTTGTAGCTTTAGTAGGTAAGTAAGGATGGTTGGTTGAATCAAGCTTAGGTGGAAAGTAAACGTCAGATCCTAAGTTGACAAAAGGTAGTTTCTTCATATTCAAAAAAATTCTTCATAAAAAATTTACATTCTTAAAGTGTAAATTTAGAGGCATTATTTGCATTTTAGTGATATTTATTTTAGTTTCTTCTCCATATATACCAACGGATTTAAGTTGTATATGTATATCGACCGTGTAATTTATTTTTTTACTATCGATGTAGTTTGCCGATTATCATTTGTATTAAGTTATGAAGTAATGTTTGTCACATAAATTTACTTGTAATTATTACCTTAGAAGTAAGTGCCACAATTATGTATTAACACCGCTAGTATGTCAAACTTAAGAAGGGAGCCTTGGAGCAACGGTAAAGTTGTCTTTGTGTGACATATAAGTCACGAGTTCGAGTCATGGAAGCAGCCACTAATTATACTTACATTAGATTAGACTGTCTACATTACACCTTTTGGAGTGCGACCTTTCCTCGAACCCTACATGAATGCGGGATGCTTTTGTGCACCGCGTTGCCTTTAGTATGTCAAACTTAAACTCTGTCCTAATTGGTACTGACTAAATTGCAAATTTTGTAGATGAAGGAGCTGTTTGCAGAACTAGCCATGGTTGAAAATGAAATAGCTAAGTTGGAAAGCCAAATCAGCCAGCTACAATATGATGTGAATAAGGAGAAGGAAATCAACATTACTGAAAAAGCTAAGTCCAAACAATTTGGACCAAAGCTGAAACAATCTCAACAACAAGGAATTATCAACCGTCCTCATAATATATCTTCATCACTTCCACCAAATCCAAACAAATTCAAAGGGCTAAATGATCAAAAGTTGCCATTTGAGACTAAGGGTGTGTTTGGTATAACGGAAAATGTTTTCCGTGGAAAATATTTTCCAAGAAAATGTTTTTTTGGAAAACAAGTAGTAATCTTATTCATTTTCTGGTGTTTGGTACGCAAATTAAGGAAAATAACTTCTCAAGAGTGTTCATAAATAATTTAGATATAATAAGGCGAAATACATAAACGGCCCCTCCAAATTGTCCACAACGGTCATTTGAACACCTCAACAGACTATTTATCAAGTAGACACCTCAAGCTATATTTTAATGTGTCTCTTAAACCCTTCAAAGTGACATGGCACAATGTGTGTATTACACTCGCCTTGCAGCAAGTGAAGCCTTTAAAAATTGTGTTTATTTCTTTTCTTTTTTTAATTTAACTGGTGGAACCCACTCATCCCCTTCTTCTCCAAAATCTTCTTCCACTATCTTCTCCACCTTAACCCACTAATCTCAACACCACACTTCACCATTAAAAGGAAGTCCCAGCATAATAATCTAAAATATTTAAAAAACATATTTAATTACGGTTTTAAAAAAAAAAAATTCTTGTGACTCTCCAAATCTTGGAACACTTGTTTAAGCTACCGTGAGATTATAGCAGAGTAGTGCACCTACAGGAATCAAGTTAAAAATTGCAGTTGATGTTCTTCCTTGATCCATTTTTTTGTTTTGGTTTCTAACGTTTCACATAAATACTTAAAATGCAAATAAGAGAGTAAGAAGTGAGTAGCTGATTCCTGGCTCGGAAGTCATCCACTACCGCCATCGAAGTTGGTCACCTCCATTACCGACCACCATTCACGGCAGCTTCATCGACGCTCCTTCAACCACTACCGACAACAATACCTTCCTTTCAATTGAAACACATAAACAACAACCAATTACTTGAATCGGCCAAACAATAATGTTCTTTCGTATTTGTGTTAGTTTTAAGAAAAGGTTTTGGCTGTCCGTGGGTGTGTCGGAAAAGAAGGTTGGAAGTGGAAGGGGTCTGACCGGAAAAAGGGAACGGGGGATTGGGAATTGCAATTGGGTCTGTTTGGGCAGAAGTGGGTTTGGGTTTTTCTTTTGTTTTTTTAGTTTATTGAATTTCTTTTTAAATTATTGTTTACCATTTTAATTTAGCATTACACGTGTTATTATCTTATTGGTTCATTTACCACGTAACCAGCGATTGCATTTCACGCATGTGATCTGTTGAGCGAAGGTGTCCAAATGACACACATATATATTCGGTAAAGTGTCTAGTTGCATATTTGGGTAGTTGCGGTGTTCAAATGACCGTTATGGACAACCTAAAGGGGCCCTTTATGTATTTCGCCATATAATAAACATAAAGCCATAAACTTTCAAACCAACAACCTTCCGGACCCACAAATTTCATAAACTTTCGAACCGCTAAACTTTCAAAACCGCGGAATTTCGAACCCGTACACTTTATAATTTCTAAACCCGTAAACTTCCAAACACATAAATCCGAACTCATAATTTTAGAACTTGTAAAATTTTGAGCCTTTAAACCGATAAATAATAAAATTAAAACTGAATAATATATTTAAATTTTTTTTCGGGAGGGGTTGGGGGCAGGAGGGTGGGGGCAGTAAACAAAAAAAACAGAAATTTAAATTATAAAAAAAAAACGTAAAAAAAAACTTTACTTTAGTGCGCGCGGGGGGGTGGGGGTGGGTGAGTGGTGCAGAAAATGAAAAAACAGAAATTTGAAAAAAAAATTAGGTAAAAAAAAAACTTGGGGTGGGGGGGTAGTAGGGTGAAAAACTGAAATTTGAAGGTAAAAAAAAAATCGTTTTTTGGGAGAGGGGGTGGGGTGGGTTGGTGAGGGTGGGGAAGGTTGAGAATGAGCTTTGGAAAATGTTTTCCCTTCTCTTAACAAAGAAAATATTTTCCTCCGTACCAAACACACCCTAAGGCTTTGCATTTCATTAGCAAAGCTATAAAAGGTGATTATGGTCTTAATGATTTCAGAATCAATGAGAAAATAATTATGAAGTCAAAAGTCAATATTACTGATCAGGAGGAAAATCAATTACATCAAGAAGTTAGAACATTTGGTGAGAGAATTTCAAGGAAAAGTGGGATGATTAAAACTCCCTCTCCCTTAAGAGAACCAAGAAATCCAACACCAAGAGTAAGTCCTTTATTTACTATTTATTAATATTCTGATTCTTATTAACAGTGTTTTCAAGATTTTTTTATAGGTTAATTTCACGAATGGTCATCGAATTAATTGTAGTAAAGTCATACAGTTAAACTTTTTAGGCAAAAAAGTACATTTACTATCCCTATAGTTCCTCTATAAAATGCAAAATGCGAAATAAGCACTGCCATCATCAAAATCAACTAAAATTAGGAACAATATCAGATAATTTTAATGGGTTTTAGATGTATTTGGTAATTTTATTTTATTTGTCGGATTACTGATGTAGTCATAAAAAGCTAAATTTTTAGACTAGGCTTCTGATAAACTTTTATTTTCTGCTACCCAACACTAATTAACTCTTAGATATATTTCTTGTTGGAACTTGGAAGTACCCCTAATCCCATTGATAACGGGTGAGCTCCAAATAATTCAATCAGGGTAGTTGCCAAATCATACCACATAGTTCCTACGAGAACAAAAGTTGCAAAAAAAAAGATAACATCGATACTACTGGAAAGGACGATTTCAATATTTCCTTCTGATGATTTGCATGACAGCACGTGCTTATTCGATATATATATATATATATATATATATATATATATATATATATATATATATATATATATATATATATAGGTCTCTAGCGTTGTATATATAGGTCTCTAGCGTTGTGGTCATGAATTTTCAACTTATGTTATTTTATGCAAAATATCAGATTAGTTTATGAAATATTTATTTTTTGTTAAAAATTTAGTTTACTTTGCTGCAATTGACCTTTAATTCGTGAAATTATGTCTTGACCCGGATTTCTCACCATCGGGATCGTGATGGCGCCTACTCGTGGTAGCTAGGCAAGCCAACTTATTTACCTTTTTAATTANCACCCAAAATTCTCAAAACCCTAACTCTACCCAAAACCCATAATTTCTACTTTGATTTCATGATTTAGGGCTAGGATTTCCGTAATTAATGAAGGAAATTGAAGAGAAAACAAGTTAAAGAATGCTTACCCAAGAAGCTTTGATGAAGAAGTGCTCTAAAATTCGCCCTAGGACTTTGGAGAAGGAAGAGTTCGTGAAGTGATATGTTTTTCCCGTCACTGGTTCTGTTTTTGGCTTAAAAATTCGCTGGGCAAAATTGCCCTTCGCGTTCGCGGGAAAGGGGCCGCGTTCGCGAAGAGTAAACTGGGCAATACATCGCGAACGCGTGAAAGGGAACGCGAACGCGTAGAAGAAAATGCTGGGGGTCCAGGGACTGTTATTCGCGAACGCGATAGGGGAATCGCGAACGCGATGAAGGGGGGATTTGTAACTACGCGAACGCATGAATATGTTCGCGAACGCGAAGGAGGAGGAACTGAAGCTATGCGATCGCGTGAGTGGTTTCGCGAACGCGAAGAAGGGGAACGCCAAAGCACTGCGAACGCGGGCCTGGGACTGCGTTCGCGAAGAACAAAATGACTGTGTAAAAATTGCAGCAAAATCTGATCCTTCGTAAGTGCAAAAACACCCCGAACCACCTCCAATTCACTCCCGAGCCCTCGGGGCTCCTAACCAATCACACACACTAACTCAATAACATCCTACGAACTTACTCGAGCGATCAAATTGCCAAAATAACATCAAAATCATTGAATCAAGCCTCAAAATCATCATTTCTATTTCAAACTTCATAAACTTCCAACTTTAGATAATTAGGTCCGAAACACGTCAAACGACGTCCGATTTCGACCAAACTTCACAGAAAGCGCTTAAACAATATATAAGACTTGTACCGGGCGTCGGAACCAAAATACGAGCCCGATACCACAGTCTTTTAATCAATTTTCCTTTCCATTTTCCTTATTAATTTCAGAAAAACAATTTCACAGAAAAATTCTTTCCTCGGGCTCTAGACCTCGGAATTCGACTCCGGGCACATGCCCGAGTCCCATATTTTTCTACGGACCTTCCGGGACCGTCCAATCTCGGGTCCAGGTCCGTTTACCAAAAATGTTGACCAAAGTCAACTGTAATCATATTAATGTCAAAATTCTTCAAATTTTTCACAGAATTCACATATTTCAACATAAAAGCTTTCCGGCTATGCGCCCGGACTGCGCACGCAAATCAAGGCAAGTAAAAATAAGGTTTTCAAGGCCTCGGAAGCACGAAACGAATGAGGAAACAGGTGATGACCCTTTGGGTCGTCACATCCTCCACCTCTAAAACAACCGTTCGTCCTCGAACGGACAAAAGAAAGAAGTACCTGAGTCGGGAAATAGATGTGGATAACAGCTCCGCATGTCAGACTCGGACTCCCAGGTCGAGGCCTCAGGGGGCTGACCTCTCCACTGAAGACGAACAGAAGGAAAACTCTTCGACCTCAGCTGTCGGACCTGCCGGTCTAGAATAGCTACCGGCTCCTCCTCATATGACAGATCCTTGTCCAACTGGACCGTGCTGAAGTCTAATTCATGGGTAGGATCGTCGTGATACCTCCGAAGCATAGACACATGAAAAATTGGGTGCACGGCTGATAAGCTAGGTGGCAATGCAAGCCTATAAGCCACCTCTCCTACTCGATCGAGAATCTCGAACGGACCAATGTACCTAGGGCTAAGCTTGCCCTTCTTCCCGAATCTCATCACGCCCTTCATGGGCGACACCCGGAGCAATACTCGCTCTCCAATCATGAAAGCTACATCTCGGACCTTACGGTCTGCATAAGTCTTCTGCCTAGACTGAGCTGAACGAAGCCTCTCCTGAGTAATCTTGGCCTTATCTAAGGCCTCCTGAACTAAGTCTGTACCCAATAACCGAGCCTCTCCTGGCTCGAACCACCGACTGGAGACCGACATCGCCTACCATACAACGCCTCATATGGAGCCATCTGAATGCTGGTCTGGTAGCTGTTGTTGTAGGCGAACTCTGCT